GTTTTTTTATTGAAATTCATTGTGCTAATTTCATGCATGAATCTTAAGGTGCATGTTCAAAAAATATACACCGGTTAAGCCTCGCACTTCCAAAAGCCCTCCAAGAATTCGTATTGCACATCCTTTACACTTAACTTATCCGTTTCGTTATTCACTAGTCTATTTTTATGAATTCGAATCATAAAAAGGGCATTTTATCGCAGCTTCATTATTTTCAATGCAATGTTCTATTCTTTAGTTAAACGGGTGGAATTTACCTCAGACAGACTCTTCTTGCTTCAACATTATCTATGCTTACTGTTAATAAATTCATCTAACGAATTTATTTCTGAAAAATAATGTCGCCACTGTATTTATATAAAGACCTATTGCAATCTTCCTGTCTTAATTCGTCATAGAGACCCAATTGCGAATAAATATCAAGACGACTTCATGATTAGATCGCTTGCCCAAATTTCGCCCTTTCTGATGCTTTGAGCACTCATATTTTCCAGTTACCTACTACATTCCGAGGCATGCCTCACAGGCTCATATATTTTATTTAACTCCTTTTTCCTGTTTGCATAAAGAATTCGGATAGTATATTCCATACCGGCTGTTTTTTTATTTATTAGACTTTTCACTTATCCCTTTCAATCGTCCCCAGCTTCGAAGCTGGTACTCATTCAGAGGACTAATACTTTGCATCAAACCGAAACTCGAGGGTAATTCTCTTGATTTGGTGTGCAAGTTCTTCACTTCCATATCTTCTCTCGCTTCCAACGATACGTCAGCCTTTCTTTTACAATTTATTATCAAGATCATTCACTCGGCTCTCATCTATCTCTGGTTTCACTTCGCATAATAAACGTTTTTTGGGCTTGGTCGCGTAAAAATAAACTCAATTTTAGGTAGCAATTCATTTTTCCAAACGGGCCAATCGTACGGCTGCAGTGTCCTCATTTTGATACAGATAAGGATTAAAACAAGTTGTTTATTTAGTTCTTGAAAATAATAACTATTTTTATTTGGATTGGCTTAATTCTAAGGGCATAATGTGCTCAGTATCCATATAAAAAACATGGCTTAATCTAATTTCGCGGAACCCTTAACTAGAGTGTTCCTCTGGTGTAAATCTTCTTGTAGCCTTCAAATTGAGCCTACTTCAGATAGACGTATAGATATTGCTAACTTCGATTTATGAATATTTGGCCTCCGTTTCTTTTCCTTTTTTTTCTTCGTTATTACTTATTACAAGTGAACATATCTATTTGTGTTCACATATTTCGAGATAGCATAATATATTTACCCATTCCAAGTTCCACAGAATTCGATTATTGATTCCCATATCAAAGCTGATGGACTGTTCTTTGTATTTATTGCAAAAAAGTGACTCGTCTTGGCAAATTTTTTCACACAAATTGCTTCTTGTTGTTGCTCTTCACATATTCGTGCTCCTTTGTTGTTCCGTACCGACGTGTAAATTCATTTTACTTTAACGAAATAATAGACTTACATGCGCTTATAATGAGATTATCTTGAATTGATTTACTGACCTCGACATTTTTTGAAACCTTTGATTTATTGCCCTATTATATTACAATCCGTTTTCCAGGGCCTTATTTTCGTACCGTAAGTACGAAATGAGCTGTGCTGTTTACTTAGTCTAGATTTTACCAGAAACTTAATCGAATTTTAAGTATCTAATCTATTGGTAGACAAACAGACATGCTAGTATGTTCGCATACATTATTTATTTCTTCTTTTATTCATTTAATCATATTTCCTTATCACTTGGTAACATCTTTCTTGATCTTATTATTCTTTCCCTTCTCTCACGGCATGAGCAGCCAAGAGATCCCATGGGCGCGAGTGAGTCAGATGAGATCAGTCAAGAAGCCCACCAGTTGCTACTCGACTCTGGGGGCGCGTTGGCCGGCGCCTTTCTCCGAGCCGCCGAGACTGCTGGACGGATGGCGAATCTGCTTGACAGACAGCCACTATTGACACCAGCATTGATGCCCCCAGGCAGGCGTACAGGCAACAGAGTTGGGGAGGCCGTGGCTACGGCTAACTCGGGGGCCAGTGGTCCGCTGCTCGCGCATCGTCTGCGGCAGACGACTCAGGTATCATGAATGCAAGTGGCTGGAAAAACGGGGAGTAGAAGACAGTCCATATGGGGGCTTCTTTTTAGTTTTGCCAACTTGTTGGTATCCTATTTGAATGTTAAAATTACTCCACTTATTTGGCGATAACTTTTTGGTGAAACAGCATGTAAATTGCATTTTCAGTGTCGCTTTATTGATGCTCTACTGGCATTTATGTTGTAAATATAAAGACCAAGGCGCTGTGGTCTTTTGTTTGGTCGCAGTCTCCTTTAGCCCTATAGCCTTGGTTTAACCGCGTTTTCGCAACTTGGTCGTGGCGACAGGAAGACCTTGTGGAACGTACCTAGTCCTGAGTCCTCTGCCATAGTATTCAGGTGGATTTCCAACATCGAAACGTTGACTTGGTACATTCCTTTATGTTTCACTGTCATCTTCAGTGAGGGAAGCCATCTTTAACACAGAGTTACAACTTATCAAAGTGACCTCGGAAAATACTAGAAATTAATCAACCAAAAATACCATAGCAGCATATTCACAAGCAAATATAATAACAAAAGACAAACCATAATTATCTGTTTGAAACCCACTAGCCAACCCACTCTCTGGTTCTGAATAATCAAATGGAAAGCGTTGACACTCACATTAGATACAAGCGAAGAAAAAAAATATGAAAATCAGGTCAGGGGCTGATTGATAAATATTTTATAATATTGTCAAAATAAGATGAAGGGTAATACATATTTGGAGCTAGATAAGGAGATAGAGCAATCTACTAGATCACTATGCTACCATCGTGTAATCTGTCGAAGAATATAGGCGAATTACTGAGGAGGTGGGATATCAG